AGCTGAAGGTCGGCTACCGGCAGACGACCCCGCGCTGCCGCTCATTTCCGCCATCAAAGACGAAATAAAACGTGTCAGAGACAACACTAGTAACAAAACATAGAAAGTTTACAGAAGTAGGAAGAAGTATACAGAACGTGGAAGACATTTTATACGGCAATAGACTAATGGAATAAGAACTAACGATGTAACGGTTGTGAGTTACCTAACCAAAAAGAACAAACATCAAAACAGATTTAGTTAGAAAAGTAATGTTGCTTGTTAAAATGTAATAACAAAAATGAAATGTCAATGTTTTTGTATGGATGTTTTGGTAATGTAATTTAGTAAAATAAATTTAGACATCTTATGATATTAGTTAAGTTTTAGTAGTAATATGTAGAATTTACTAGTAAATCGCCAAAGATAAAAATAATTGTAATAATCCGAGTAAAGATATACCTACAATTTTCACAAAGATTTTTTTTTTATTCAATAAAACCGAGAATCAATTCAAATTACAATAATAATTAGATTAAGTAACTAAATTCGAGAACATCATTTCTTTAATTTATTGTTTAGATTAAGCATGTTACTTTTAAATTTTGTGCATTTAACTATTTGCACTGTGGAAATATTTACAGAAAACAATAATCTTTCAAAAGCGAGAACAAAATAATTTGAAAAAATTTTTTTGTTAATATTTCTGCAATGCAAATTAATATGTTAATAACTAATTTTTTACATTTTTTTATTGTTGTCTTCTATCTTTCTTGTTATATACACATTGTTCTAGTAGTTTATAAGAATTAATTTAATTCTACATACTGAATTTGTCAAATCAAGTTAATCTCAAAAAATTTAAAAACTTTTACGATTACTTTATAAAATAATTTACTCATTTATCTTGTATTAAATTACTTAACTTATCAATGTTCTTTTATTTTTCATACTAATCATACTAATATTATAAATGTGAAAGTTTAGATGGATGTTTCCTAGAGTTTGTAGCCTAAACTGCTGAATAGATCTCGATGAAATTTGGTACAAATGTAGAGGATAGTCTGGAAGAACACATAGGCTACTTGCTTTTATTTTTTTTTATTCTACGCGGACAGAGTCGCGGGCGACAGCTAGTTAAACATAAAGTAAACCTTACATTACTTACATAACATTTATAACAGCTGTGTTTTTATAAATTAGAATCTTTTCATTTGATGTAAATTAAAAAATCCTTAACAAATAAATTACATTAATCAGACACATGGTCGTGGTCAGGATAGGGGGAAACAGGGAATAAAAAAATGCTAAACATACTATATAAATAAAAAAATGTATAAAAATAAAACAAAAAATTACCCCCCCTCCCCCACACACGCACCCTTAGACCTAGGTTGGATCATAGACAAGAATGCCAATTTCAGGCATACTTCAAATAAAGAAATAAAACTAAACAACTTTTGTGCAATTTTTTATTTTGTACTTTTTAATGTATCAAACCTTATCTGCCTGAAATATGATAAAACATTCAATATTTACATATGTACAGAAACATTAATTAAATCTGCAATTCTGTACCCCTTCATGATTTTAATAAATCAATAACAATAAAAAATAACCAAAAGGGATTACCAAACATTTTTATTTTACACAATACCCAAAAACTATATTTGAGGCATATATTTCATTCTATAAATATCCTAAATATTTATACTACAAGCCATAATTTTAAATAAAATTCCTTTGATAACTTAAAATCTATCTTCGATACTCAGAGACATTAAGTAATGATTAAGCTTTCTACAACAGTATGAAAATATTTCTTCTTAAACAAAATTCTTATTCTTAAAAACTCTTCTATCTCCATTTAAAATATATTAACAATAAATAACATAAATACTTCCATTACATTCATTTTAAAAACTATCAACACTTTCTATTATTTTGGCCTTATTTTAAAGAAGTAACTAATATCAATACTTCAAATATTAAAATTTCATTATATTTATATGTATGTTTTGTGTATGTTACCGGAAATGTGTGATAACTAGGAATTGTATACTTTGTCTAGGAAAAGTATAAAATTTCCAAGCTGTTTTGGAAATTTGAACAATGTTTCAAAGATTATTAAATAGACACATATCCTGGTAATTACACATTTCCTAGAAATTGTATGGAATTCCAAAATCGCAATAAGCAAGGTATGAACACAATGTTTTTTTTTTTATAATACGAGGTGGCAAACGAGCAAGCGGCCACCTGAATCCACCGAAATGGAAAGCGACCGCTGCCCATAAACATCCG